ATCCCTTCTGTCGTTTTCTTGTGAGTGTAATTAAAGTCCACGGTCATTTAGAGCTTACTTGATTTTCTTTTTGTCAGCATTGGAGGGAATTCTCCTAAGAAGCTCCTTAAATTTGTTGCTTATGCTTATAATTTATGCTAAAATACTCACCATTTATTTGTTGAAATAAAGTGGTTAGCTTTCAATATCATTTTCTTCTGTTTTTGACAATATTTAGTTTTAGCAGTAAGGGTGGATTTAGCAGTAAGTTAAGGAACTTTCGTCTGCGTATCTGGTCGTCGCTCCCTGTGACGCAATTAGTTGGATGTATTTGTGTGAGCGTCTGGTAGGTACTGCTGTGATGTAATTTATCGCCTGTGTGCGAAAGACGGTAGAAGAGCAACCATCCCTTCTCGCGTCAACAACACGACGGCTTTGCAGGCAAACTGTTGTGTAAACCTTACTTTGGAATAGTACATTAATCTATAGTAATCAGAATAATTTTTTGTTGGAGAACTCTGTGTTTGATTTGCTAATGATTATTTCCGATGGTAGGCAGTACTAATGAAGTTCGATGTCCATTACTGCTTAACCAGTGTCGAATCCCGAACTTTGGACACTTTCGACCGCTCTATCAAACAATTAATGCAAAAGTGTTCTTTGGTTTCAAACACTGAAAAAGGTCATGCATGAAAACGAATTAACAAAAGATATAATGTCGCAAGTAACAGAGAGAAACTATTTGGCATTGATCATTTAACTGGAAAAAGGAATTTTATTACGTACTTCAAACCAATACTTGGATGATTTTAGATTCATTTCGAATGCTCGCTCTTGACTCTGTTTTGTAAATTTAGAGGGGGGGGAAACAGAGTTATTGATTTGAAAAGACATCAGCTGCTCTGAATAGTTCTGCATTATTCTCTTATCTGCCTTTGATACCTTTTGTATTATTTATTTTTAATTTTCGCTCATTATATTGCTCAGTGTCTACTAGTTGTTTCCTCTGTCATTCTAATCAAATGCTGAACATCTACGCCAAATACAGTTTTTCTCATCTACTCAATGTCCTGGTCATTTTAAGTAAAATATTATGGCAGATTCCACAAATAAGCTGCTCTTTGAAAACTGGTATGAAAGCTCTGCAACTTTCCTTTTGCTGTCGGCAATTCGGATCCTTTTCCCATTGTTTTCCATGGCTATTCGTCATTTTACACAATGGAAAAATGGGTCATGCAGGCTAACGCCTTTTAAATCAATTCCACATTAGCACAGAAATGACACTATTCCAACATTGAATATGCAACACTAAGAAAAAGTGGCCAGAAAGTGATGAAACTCGGCAAACAGAGACTACCTTGGACGGCGATACGCGAAGCAACACGTCTAGGTACTGAATCAATGAGACTATGGATGATGTCCTGAAAAATGGTTCTCCATTCCCTGTCAAGCATTTTTCGCAGTTCGTCCTCTGAACGCGGCAGTTGCAGGATCTGCAAATGGCTTCCAATCATATTCCAAATGTGTTCGATTAGTGAGAGATCAGGAGAGAACGGTGGCCAGGGAAGTATCTGTACAACTTGCATAGCACATTGGTCCATGCGAACAGTGTGTGGTCGGGTGTTATTCTGCTGATAAAGGACAATGGGCACTCCTGAATATGCAACACTAAGAAAAAGTGGCCAGAAAGTGATGAAACTCGGCAAACAGAGACTACCTTGGACGGCGATACGCGAAGCAACACGTCTAGGTACTGAATCAATGAGACTATGGATGATGTCCTGAAAAATGGTTCTCCATTCCCTGTCAAGCATTTTTCGCAGTTCGTCCTCTGAACGCGGCAGTTGCAGGATCTGCAAATGGCTTCCAATCATATTCCAAATGTGTTCAATTAGTGAGAGATCAGGAGAGAACGGTGGCCAGGGAAGTATCTGTACAACTTGCATAGCACATTGGTCCATGCGAACAGTGTGTGGTCGGGTGTTATTCTGCTGATAAAGGACAATGGGCACTCCCTGAAGGTAAGGGACTGTCACCAGCCGCACCACAGCATCCATTTTTTTTATCGTGGGACCATCATAGTGCCCTGAATACGAACTACAGATGACCTTGAATCATACGCAATTATGCCTCAAACCATGATGTCGCGCTGTTGCGCGAGGGGCGTTCCACATTGGCTGCCGGATTGGACCTTTCTCCACACTCATACGCGGCGACTCTCACTAGAGAAACAGAAGTGTGACTTATCTGAGAACACGACCCTGTGCCATTCCGTCGTCAACATCGCTCTAGCCCGGCATCATTGCTGACGTTGGCGTCTATCATGTGGGGTCAATGACAATCTTCTTAGCGGACGCCACGAAGGCATGTCATTAGCCACCAATTGACGGCAAATGGTTCTGGTCGATATGGGAACATCCAACGTGAGTTGAAGATGCTGCAGAATGGAGGTAGATGTAGCTTGCCGGTTCACCACCTCTTGTCGGCGGATTCGTCGATTTACGTGTGCTGACGTCGCTCTAGCTGCACCCTTACTCCTCGAACTTGCCACATTTCTTTGTTCTAACCATTGTCGTCATAGCCGGTGCACTGTGGACGTGTCCAGGTGTGTGTCACCTGAGATTTGCTATATGGACCAAGCTGCCCTTCTCAATCCGATTATCATGCCTCTCGTAAAATCGTGTCTGCTGGAACTACCTCCGTTGACGACGGCTTGGCTTTCTCTGCTATTACGCGCTTCATCTGAGACAAGAACAAATTTTCTACGATGATTTCCTTAGCAGAAATAACGGCACGAAAAACTGAACATCCTGCAGGTTCCTTCCCTTACATCGTCTTCAACGTGCGCTGGGGAGCTGTGCATTTCACAACATTCACATAACTCGGCAACGAGCGTCCAACCGTGAAATTTGCATAATTTTCGGGCCTTTCCTTCTTGGTTTTGCATTTTCAGTGTTGATTAGTGTATATTTAGGGAAATTCTTTTTTGCACAAATTACACAAAATATCTATAGAACTTAGAGTAACGAGTAGGAACTATAGAAAAACTATAGAACTTAGAGTAACGAGTAAGAACTATAGAAAATCTATAGAACTTAGAGTAAAGAGTAAGAACTATAGAAAAACTATAGAACTTAGTAAGCGAGTAAGAACTTAGAACGAGAAGGTTCTATGTATTGTAGTGGCCACAAATTTTATTTGCCATTAATTTAATTTTTTTCTGATGAATGTGTGTATTTTTTTTATTATTATCGAATTGACAAGAATGAATTGAGTTGTTGCATATATATATATATGAATGTTGCATATATATATATGAATTTAAAACTTAATTTAATTACCTCGGAAAGGTATTTTTCGTTTTTAATAAGGACCCTGGCAAATTAAGACAAACTGCCATTTGAGAGAAATATTTAATGTGAGTGAATGAAACGAGTACATAGTTAAGTCTGAAAAAATTAAATATTTTCTGTATTAAGTAAGTGCACAAATCATCATGTGTCGTTAATATAGAACGAAATAATATCATAGCAATACTTATGTTTTTTAACTTCGCCATTTTGAACGACGGCTCATTTTAGTAAGTCTTTGGCTGTAAATTTCATCGTACTAAATCTTAAATTGATAGTGGCGTCTTAATTGCTTAGTTTAAAATTGGTTCAGGTATTAAACTGAAGTCCAAGATCAGATTGTAAATTATTTTTAATCTTGCAATTTCTCATTTTTAATTTTTAAAATTACTTTTATCTTTTCGAAACTTTAGTGATAAACTCTTCGATGTGTCAGATTATAATATGAATCTTCAGATTGAATCCCCCCCTTTACTTTCGCTATATAGCCAATAGAAAAGTCATAAACCTTTTTTCTCATAAACAAAAAAACTATAGAACTTAAAGAGTAAGGAGTAAGAACATAGAGGTTCTATGTATCGTCGTGGTCACAAATTTTATTTTTTCATATTGCTGAAAAGGAAGAAATTTAACAAGCCAGATTTGAAAGTGTGAAATAGCCTGTTACATTTACGAGTTGTCACGTAGATCTTAAAATTTTTGTAACATAACGTTATTCTATTCATATCTCTGAGTGTTAGTAAATTTCAGTAAAGTGTTTTTCCTTAAAATGCTTATTCTTCATTTGTTTTGATACGGATAAAATTTCTAGTTCTTAGTGGCATGCGCTAATTCACATTCTCTTGCAGCTTCTGCCAGTCGTAAACAAGCTGTTTACTTATCTAGGGTACGTTGAACACGTTCATGTTTACCTCTCATAATGTCGATGGTAACACACTTCAGGCAAACATTATTCACTATCACTTTAGATTACTTCTAAGGATATGCATCGTAATCGCATTTATTCTGCCCACGGGATAGTATACTAAGCTAAAATTATTTATCGTGGAATATTTTCCTTTTAAGATTTATAATACTGCTTTCGGAAGTTTTAAACTTTGGGCTCTGAAGACGAAACTGATCAATAGATCCACCACCGTTAGCAATTTTTTCTTACTTTTTCTTCTCTTTCTTTTATAAAATTCCCGGTTATTTATGATTTTCTGCCAAATGTTCTCTCCTTCTTTTCTTTGTTTAGCTTGCTGAAATGTATTCACTTGTCTTTCTTCTTCGCTAAAAGGAAACGGTTTTGTATTAATTGTTGGGCTTTGAGTTCTACTTTTGCTGAAATATTTTTCAGACCATTATAGCTGTTCGTTACACAAATAATGCGGTCGAACTTAAATAAGCTGAAGCTGAAAAATCAGAAAAAAATCGTTTAGTAAAATGAAATTGGAGGAAACGAGACTGCCGGCAAATTGCTTAAACAGTCTCTTAATTTTTTATGCATATAAATGTCTATAAATTCAACATACATTTTGGAACTCACTTTTATTTGCGAAATCATCAGCGATTTTTTTAATGGAAAGTGTTTTTTATTTATTTTTTATTTTTCATGAAGCATAATGCATGTGCTTTTCTGATTTTGAAAATGGAGTAACTCTCTCGCATGTACCCTTCTGTCATTCCCAGGTGAAAGATTCTATTGTCAACTCAGCATGAATAATTCTTGGGTCCTTTCTTCTTTCTAAAGGAATGACACCATCGCCATTGCACCGGGAACGGGGCTGACAAAAATATACGGAAGCTCTTTTTCAAACTTCTAACGTATGTCAACTGTCAACTCAAGGGCATGAAGTTTGGAATGCCGTCTCGAGAGACTTCGTTGTAAGTTTGGATTCATCTATCTTACTGTGTAAACATTTATAGCAAATAATTTTAAGTGTGTATTACTTAAACTTCTAATGAAATAGAGCAATTGTAAATTTATGAAAGTATTCATATATATCTGCTCTTATTTTATTGTTCATTGACTTTTTTATTTATTAATTATAGGCCTTTTTTTATTGTAATTTTTGTGTAGTTCTTATTATTGTGAATTATTTCATGCAAATATTTGTACATATTTATCGAATTGCGCCTTGTATTGGTTTTGATTTATTTTACATTATTTTATTTATTTATGATTTTTACGTCTTATTAGTCCAAACGGGCTTTGTCCCTGAGGGACTATTGTTTTCGTTTTGCGATTTTGAATCGAATCATTCTGAATGTCCGTTTCCCTTTTCAAACTGTTGCCATCAAATATTATTGCCCTGTATTATATTTGAAGAAATTATATAATGAAGAATCTTCATAAATGTATATATATTTCTGGCATTGTGATAAAACAACGATACCTAGAGCCATCAAATTTTGAATGACATAATCCTACTGCGAATACGGGCATTTGGAAGCCCAAAGTTGAAATTTGAATTTGTTTTATTATCGATTTCATATTTTGTAAAACTTAAACCAATTAACAAACTCAAGGAACTCAAGGATTAACAAACTCAAGGATTTCAAAGCGAGCAATGGCAACGTTGTACAGAAAAAAACATTTACCTCCAGCGCCTGACACAGTGTATCGGAAATTCTAAAGATATGCTCAATTTAAAATTATTTTGCGTAATTGCTCTTGAACTGAATTTTATGGTTCAAGTGCGAAGAACATGATATTTAATAAATAAAGGTAACGCACAAAATGTTAAAAAAAAATGCCACGTAAACGTAATTTAAAATTTGAAACCTTTCAGATTTTCTTTTTGTGTTCTTTTTATTGCAATTTTGTGCGTGTTTCTTATTATTTTTTTAATTGTTTGTAATAATTATAATTTTTTTGAATTCTGTGAAGTTTTAAAAATGTTTATGCCTTATTTTATCCTTCTCTATAGATGGCGCTGCCCTCGCGCCAGATGTTTGATTCCTAATATATTTTTAATTTTGTCGTGTGTTTGTGGCAATAGATAAAATAAAACCAAATGTCTAATATTCGATGCTAAAAAAAATGAAAACATGTAAACAATTCTGATAGCTCATAAAGTCAAAATCTTATTCAATTTTGAGTCTTTTCACTGTGTCAAATTCAAGTATTTCCGGGTAACTGTAAGTCGATGAAAATTCAAGGTAAACTATTTAATAATTATTAATTATTGAACTTACCAATAATCAAATTCAGTTATTTTATTAATTTATACCGTATGCAGTTCTGTGCACATAATAACTGCAATGTGATAAATAGCAAGAACAGAGTTCGAGATACTAGCTAATAAAATTTACCAGGCTTTTAAGAACAAATTTCCGGATTGATGACATTTTTGATGTTTTGCTTTACTAGAATCATTTTGAATGATTTTTCCGGAAACTTTCTTGCATTTCGTTTCTTCTCTGCTATTTTCAGCAACAAAACTGTATAAAAGCAATTGTTGGAAGCCACCAGATACTTTAACCAATTCAGTTTTGCTGACCAAATATTCAGTGATTTCAACTTACATGGCTTACATGGTGACCAAGTCTGCAGTTGTTTTGCGTCGTTTGAATGTCGATATTATGCATTACTAATGTCACGTGATCCTGTATTTTTATAGCAGTATCTCTAGAGATTTCTGCTGCTGTACTTTGTTGCATTCGTTTTGTTCATTAGTTATTTCATGGAGGTTTCAAATAATATAATGGAAAAAGCGAAAGATAAAAATATTTTGCATTTACTTAATGAGGATTTTTTAAGTATGCCAACATAATACTATACCATGAATGAATGACCAGTACGTCAATCGCGAGGCAATGTTTTGGCAACCCACAGCCAACAGGAGACGATTTCAACACGCAAACGCAGCTTAACCATAAGTCATAGAAAAAACAGTTGTTCTTGCTTAGTATCGTAGGTGAAAATGACAATACTCCTTCTGCTCCAATCGTAGGGAAAGTTCAGGAAAGTGGATGAGCAGAGTTCTATATAACTTGTCATCTACTTAGTGTCCAACACGCTATTTAGCGGGTTCCTCGGGAAGCAATTTTTAATCCTTGGTGTAACAATGCATAAGCTGGCACTCATTGTTCCTTATTCATTGAACTGACGCTCCTAGAAAAAATGTCGATTTTCCTTGACTTTATTGCAGTGGAAAATATAAGTACTCTTTTTTATGTTATTAATTACAATCATATATTTGTGTACATCTCTTGCATTTAGCATAAAAATAAGTAATAAACCGAAAAAAGCCAACATTTGTCATTTTAATGAAGAATGGAAACTTGATTGCATTTTTACATAGATGTAGGGTTCTTGCTTAACGATCAAGGTTCCATTTTTAAATTTACATGATAAATATTAAGTACATTATCTATAAAATAGTGAGTTTCAAAAAAATAAAATTAGGAGTCTTAGGGCTAAATTCAGAGCCCAACAAAACATTTTTACAAAACCCATGTCGAAATCCCTTACACTGACTACTGCATCATTCAAAGTAATTCATAATTTAGCCAAACCAAATTAAGCCATGTTTTGAGGAGAATTTACAGGAAAAGCTTCCATGAAAATGTCACATTTTACTTTTTAACGATTTTAAGAAAATAACTGAAATTATTGCTGCAATTAAAGGTCTACAGTTGTATTGAAATACTTATATGCCCTGGACTGAAAAAAATGAGTGATAACAACATTAATAAATGTTCCTGCTTTTTATTTCAGTTTCATCAAACGATATAAGTTGCAGAATTCCTTATTTTAATTCTGGTGCTTTTTTTTTTATTTATTTATTTATTTTTTTATTTTTTAAGATTACATACCTAAAGAAGAATTGTTAGATATGTTGCCTTTGAAAGAAAGGATTGGAGAACTTTTAAATCATTTTCAATTACAACAAATATCGCAGGAGCAATGATAAGACACATAAATTATTTATAACTCTATACCAAAATGGGGAAAAATTCACCGAATGATGGCGAACGCGAAATTTTTACTGGACAAACGTTTTGAGATACCACTGCATATTTCACCAATAAGTGTCAGCTAGCAGAAGAAAAAACACAGAGGAAATATGGACATAGCGTTCAAAATTGTAAATTCCATTTGAAGAAGTTTCCTCAGATTTGATGCTCTTCCAACAGCAACTTGATGATTGGTTTGGTTGGTTTACTTGATTACGGCAAAGTACTTGAGGGATATCTGTCTAAGAGGGGGGCAGCTTTCGTGGCTTATTTTCTAAGGAAAACCAGTATGTATCCGCTCTACACATGGGGAAACTACAAAAAACGCCGATACCGTTCCCCTAGAATCAATTATTATAAGTCGAACTACAAGTGTTCAGCGATTTTACCGCTCATTCTCTGAAGGGACTGCAACTTGATTAATGACATCCAGAACTATTATTGCATTACGATTTAAGATGGCTAAGAATATGTAAATTTCGGATGCGATTTCGTGATTTATTAGTTGAACTATGAACGTTCTCGAAGAGTAAGATCAAGAATGCACAAATTTACGTAATGAAACGTGGTTCAGTGATTTAACCTTTGTTACAGATTTTAAATCGAAATGAGTTGATTTAAATTTAAAATTGCAAGGAATAACAAAACATAATTGAAATGATGAGTAGCATCAAGGCGTACAAAAGAAACTTCACTATAGTAATAACATATCTTCAACAAAATCATTTGTACAAATACATCGGCATTGCAGCAAGCAATGACCACACAAGATGACAAGTAACAGTACAAAAGAGGAGACAAGAGAGGAGAGAGTAAAAACCTATTGGAATTAGAAGTTTTCATTGTGTCCATCTTCACAAACTATAACGCATTGCATGCGGGAGATTTTTGACAACACTGACGAACGTACAGGAGGAATCTCTATAACTTAATATTTTACAGAATCTTTCATTTCTAACAAATCTAATGGATCAACCCTAGATTTCAGACAAACCCAGAATCAGGAATCCATCGGAGTGAAGTCGGGGAACCGCTTTGGCCACGAATCTAGTAAGTTACAATACCTGATTCTATCTTGAAACATTGTACACGTTTGAAAACTTGTAATTCCAATAAAAGTTTTTCCCTCTGTCCTCTTGCATTGTCACTGATCCTTTACAATGATCTTTTTTTGCAGATGTTTTACGGCGGCCATTTTCATCATACATGTATCATTCCGACGCCCTTTATGTTTTTTCAATGATTAATTTGCGGAGGAAAAAATTGGCCATTCGAAAGTTTTGAAATATTTTCACTGTAACCATAACCATGAGAGCTCTATTGTTTTATATCATCATAATCTCGTGCGCATCAAATATAAATTTCTGAAATTTAATTTCGATTGGCTGAGCGGTGAGGCTGTTAGGGGTTCAGGTTCATGTATTGGGAAAATATATTTATGATTACCCCATATCATACCTGCATCATTTATTATTACGTTGCTGCTGAGCAACTCACAGCTGTAAAGAGTACAAGATCTGGTTAAGTGAACAGGTTTCTGGGTAATGACTATGGTTGACAGGTCTCAGTACCTTAAGATTGAACAAGAAAAAGTATTTTAATTACTTTTCATTTGGTTTGTTTGGTTTGTTTACTGTGTTTCTTGAAATTTAATAAATCCATCGCTGGAAGCTTTCTGTGGTGTATAGGCATCATCTGACCTTTGAAAATGAAATCAGTTGTTAGAATGAGTGACAGGGGACGTTGTTAGATCAAAACTGTTAATTGTCAGAGCAAATCAATTGTTAGAGCAATACGAAAATGAATGTAGCGTCATCTTCCCAAGAAAGGAATAACGAAAAAATTTCTGAAATTCTGTTTATTTAAACAGATGGCGCTACTTTCGTTTTTGCTTTCTATGGCATTTCAGTATGAGTCGATATGATCGTAGCACCTCGTGCCTTTCAAAAAATACTTTGTTCCTGAAGCTTACTCTGATTTCCCT